AAAAATAGCAAACATATCAACGGTCAAAGATTGGTGGAACACCCTAAATTTTAATATTTCGAGTTTTCCAGAAAAATGATTCAGTATATATGAAAGGCTTTCTAGGTGGTTCATTAAAACTATGAAATAGAAGCTGAGGGCGTGTGAAGGGGATCTACAAATAACCTGTAAATCACCTTACACTATGTATTTCCTAAATTCTAGTATTGCCTCTGCAATGTATGCCTCAAGCTAGTCAATTATGCCTTCTTCTTTTGGCTACCCTTGTATCTCACCGAAGCGTACCACTGGACTGAATCAAAGGTTTGCACTAAACTTCTTTCCAAAATACTTTTATTCGATCAATTATATGGGTGTCTAGGCAGACGAACTCAGCATATGGTATGATATTGGCGGTATCATAGGTAGCATTGCAGGAGGATATATCACTGTGAGTCTTTCATTTATCTGAATTACGGCCTTTCTCTTACCTGTATCCTTTTTATTTACTTTTAGGATCGTATGGGATGTCGCGCACCCCTGATTGTTGTGATGCTTGGATCATCAATAGGAGCTTTGTTTGTGTATGCACATGCAGGTGAACACTCTTAAAACATTCAAGTTCCCACTTTTTTGAAGAGTAATTTATTCTGGATATGCTTTCTAGGACCAGCGCTTCTTTGGAACGTTTTGATCATGACTGTAGTCGGCATCACAATCTCCGGTCCATATAATCTCATTGTTGGCACTATATCAATAGACCTAGGATCTCAACCGGCGCTTGCTCATAGCGCACAGGTACGAGTCTTTCATGAAAAACAAGTATACGAAACTATGCTCTATTTTTTTTTTGAAAGTCTGCGACTGTTATTATCTGCAGTGTTTGTGTTTCTTTTTCCATTTCATTTTTTTCAAGGCTATGGCTACTGTGACTGGTTTGTTGGATGGTACAGGATCAATTGGAAGCGCCATCGGTCAACTATTCGTTCCAGTATTACAGAATGCCTTTGGATGGCAGTCTGTATTCTACCTCTTCATGATTTTGGTCCGTTTGTTTCTGCTCAATGGTTTATCTCTGCCGTTACAAAAATTATTCCAGAACTTCATCGCGATCATCTGCATCACAAGACGTTGCCTATCCGATCTAAGGTCTTTACTTTATAAATCTTCTGAACTTACTCCTCTTCTTGACGAGGAGGACCCTGATGAATAACATCTTTTAATATCAATATGATCATATCTTTTTTTTTTGCAATCTTTCCAAATGTTTATACGGTTGCCAGCACGGGACTATAATATCATATACGTTACACATTTCAGCGAAAGGATAAGTTCTTATGGGGCATTTGTTAATT